TTCGACCACCAGGCTGATTTTGAACCGCTTTCTAGCGCCAACGAGACTCCGGTTGGGCCGGTGTGGTTTGACCCTGGTCAAGCCCCAGGTGTAAGTGATGGGATGGGATGTGGATTCGCAGAGGCTGGCCTGGTCCAGCTCTTTTTGCCAAGAGGACCGCCAATTTCAGATGGCAAGCGTGGTCCTCGAAGACCCTGTATGCGTTTGGTCCCAGGGTTGTGAGAATTTGTCAGGTAGCTGGAACGAATGCCTTCCTCCCAAGTCATCGAAAAAGAAAAAGAAAAAAAAAAGGCCGAGGACGTCAGGAGGTGAGCTATCAAGGCGAGCGTTGCAATATTTCATGAATGTGGAGGCAGTTTTTATGTGATCCTTGAAGATAACGTGCAACGGTTGGGGTGCTGTGCAAATGACTGATGCAAAGAGACACTTTCGAAGGCCGACTAGAGGAGACAGAGCGGGGAGCCGGGCCAGGGGTGGTGGGGGGGGGGGGTTCGTTGAGCGAGACCCTGGAAGATACGGCAAGGCATTAAGTGGACTTCACCAATGCGACGCGTCGCAGGCGTCGCGGCTGTGAGCCCTGATGATGAGCCTGGGAGAAATGGAAAAACAGGCGTAGGTCTAGACATACGTATCCACCCCGGTGCAGGCTGCAGACGCCGCAAGCGCGCTCTGGACATTTTCTGCCGCGCAACGTCAAGCTCTCTGCATCCTAGCACACCCCCAAGTCGATCCAGGCTGCGTAACCCGTCGCATTCATCACTACGGAAATTCTGCATCACTTTCACCACAGCGATTCCACGATATCGCATTCAAGATGGCCGCGGTATGTCCTTCTTCCAATCAAGCTGTCGCCACTGTGTGACCTCTCGCTCATCAAACGTGTAGCCTGTGATGACCGTCTCCGAATCAAAGGAGCTTCGAGGGCTCAACCTCATCGCCGCGCATTCCCATATCCGAGGCCTTGGTGTCGATGGCACGTCACTCGAACCGCGAACCTCCTCGCAGGGCCTTGTCGGACAAGAAAAGGCGCGAAAGGCCGCCGCCGTCATTCTTCAGATGATCAAGGAAGGCAAGATTGCCGGACGCGCCGTGCTGATTGCCGGCCCTCCCAGGTACACACACCTTTCCACCCACTCTGCGTCGTGCTTCATCCTGTGACGCTCGCTGACGCAATCTGTCTGCAGCACTGGCAAGACTGCCATCGCCATGGGTATGGCGCAATCCCTTGGCCCCGACGTCCCCTTCACCAGTCTCGCTGCCTCCGAAATCTTCTCCCTCGAAATGTCCAAGACCGAGGCCCTGACCCAGGCCTTCCGCAAGTCAATTGGCGTCCGCATCAAAGAGGAAAGCGAGATTATGGAGGGCGAGGTTGTTGAGATTCAGATTGATCGGAGCGTGACGGGCGGCGCCAAGCAGGGCAAGCTCACCATCAAGACGACCGACATGGAGGCTGTTTACGACATGGGTACCAAGATGATTGACGCCATGACCAAAGAGCGCGTCATGGCCGGCGACATCATTTCCATTGACAAGTCCTCTGGCAAGATTACCAAGCTGGGCCGGTCCTACGCTCGTTCGCGCGACTACGACGCCATGGGCGTGGACACCAAGTTCCTGCAGTGCCCCGACGGTGAGCTCCAGAAGCGCAAGGAGGTCGTCCACACTGTCACCCTGCACGAGATTGATGTCATCAACTCGCGGACGCAAGGCTTCCTGGCTCTTTTCTCCGGCGACACGGGCGAGATCCGTAGCGAAATCCGCGACCAGATCAACACCAAGGTCGGCGAGTGGAAGGAGGAGGGCAAGGCCGAGATTGTTCCCGGTGTGCTCTTCATCGATGAGGTGCACATGCTCGACATCGAGTGCTTTTCCTACATCAACCGCGCCCTCGAGGACGACTTGGCTCCCATCGTCATGATGGCCAGCAACAGGGGCAACTCGCGCATTCGAGGAACCGATTACAAGAGCCCTCACGGCCTTCCCCTCGATTTTCTTGATCGTGTCGTCATCATTCACACGCACAAGTATAACCCTGAGGAGATCAAGCAGATCCTGACCATCAGGGCGGCGGAGGAAGAAGTCGAGGTGTCTGCTGACGCTCTTGCTCTGTTGACCAAGATCGGTCAGGAGGCCGGCCTGCGCTACGCCAGCAACCTCATTACGACGTCGCAGCTCATCAGCGCGAAGCGCAAGTCCAAGGCCGTGGACGTCGCCGACGTCCAGCGAAGTTTCTCCCTGTTCTACGACCCCGACCGCAGCGTCAAGTTTGTGACCGACTCGGAGAAGCGACTGATAGGCAATGATGGCGGTGTCGACTTTACCGTCACCAATGGCCACGGTGAGGCGATGGATGTGAGCTGAGTATTTGATCCTTGCAGTTTGGCGTTAGGGGGTGGACGTAAAATCGGATGCGTTTCGCCGGGAAGGCGGTAGAATTTTGTACCATACAACAAGAGAATAGCATCCCTGTGGTGCTTGATTTGGAATGAATGTCACTGTTTTAAGTAGCAGCTCCAAGTGCTTGAAGTGGTATCATTGTTTTTAATCTTGCTATGCAAAGCCTGCGACCCTGCTCCATTCATTCTCATCGCCTGCCGGCCTGAACTCGACGCCTTCCCCGAAGTACCCAGCATCTTGCCATGCTTTCATGGTCTGGCTGTCGAATGGCCCTTGCTTGTCCGCGTCATCGCGGCCATCCACCCACCGGAATTCCCACATCTTGCCCTCTTGCGAGTCTGCCTCTTGCGTCGGCTCCACCCAATCCTCGCCGGTTTCGCGCTGCCACTCTCTGAGGAGGACTTCTCGTTCCTCGTCGTAGATCTCAGCACGATCTCGGCTCAACAATTTATCAGCCGCGTCAGTGATGGCTGCAATGGCCTCTCGTATCCTCTTCTGCTCAGGGTCCTCGGCCTTCTCCGCCTGATCGACGTCCATACCCTCCGCGCCTCCTTTCTGCTTTTTGAGTTTCCATTTCGGGATTTTCTTCTGTTTCGCTTGTCCTTTGCCCAGCCTCGCGAGTGCTTCCAGCGGTGTCTCGCCCTTGTCCAGCTTCAGAATCAGACTCTTCAGAATATCTGTCGTCAACAAGCTGTCGTTCTCCATTCGCAACCGCCTCGCCTCGGCCTCGCGCCTCTCATGGGCCTCGGCGGCCTTCTTCATCTCCTTCTTGCTGACGCCGTCGAGCCATTTGTCGTGTTGCGCATCTGGATCCACTGCTTTGCGAATAAAGTTTCCGTCCGCGTCGAAACGCCCTTCTTCTTGCTCGTCCTTCATGTTAAAGGACCTCCGACTTTTGAGCGCATTGCGCTCAGACCACCGAGGCCGACCTCTTCGTCGATACCCTCCTCCTGCATGGCCATGTCGCCGCGTTTCCTCATCGTCGTCCGAGTCCTCGTCATCCAGGCGAATCTGACCGCCGCTCTTGCTCTGCATGTCTTGCCCTTCGATATCGGTATCCTGCAAGAAATGCACAGCCTTGGCCTTCTTCTTCGCCTCGACCGTCGATTCAGGCGCCCCAGCAGCTTCCTTTGGCGCATCCTCCGGCTCGGCAAACATGTCGTCATCGTCGTCGTCGTCGTCCGCCGCACTGGCTTTGCCCCCCTTGGATCCGCCGCCGGCGCTCTTCGAGTCGTAATTGTCCAGCTGCTCGAGAATGTTGGCCTCGCCCTTGCCGAGCGCCCGCTTGTCGGCGCGCGTATTGAACGTCTCGCCGTCCGAGTCGCTGTCGTAGCCGTCGAGGTTGACGGCGCCGCGCTTGGTGGCCGCGCCGCCGCCGATGACGTCGGCTTCGAGGACGGCGTCCTCCTCGCGCGCGTCGGCGGCGAGGGCCGAGGGGTTGCGGACGTCGAACTTTACCTTTTTCGAGTCGGGGTCTGCTGTGTCGTGGTGGTGGGTGCGGGCGAAGTCTTCGCCGGCGCGCTTGGGGCGCGCGGCTGTGTGGCGGGATGCCATGGGGATGGGCAATTATGGGATGAGGCTGGAGGTGCGTGAGGCGATTGGCACGCTGTTGAGGGTGGCACGCAGTATCTGGAGGTGTGTGGCAGGTCGTGAGCTTGGAGGAGCTTGGGAGAGCTTTTGATGGTGAGTGGGGTCTGTTTGTAGAGAGCTCTGGATGACGGAGTTGAATAGCTACCTAGGTACCTTAGTGGCAGCGGTCCGTGTTGATGTATGTAATTATGCGAGGTATGCTGTACACATCCTTACCAAAGAGCCGTATTCTGGGAGCTCACAAAGATCTGTTCAATGGACATTAAGACTGAAAAGCTGATCTCTCAATATGGACCTTCAATCAATCAATTTGAGCTTGTTGCACGGAGTTCTGGTGATGCGAGGATCATGTTCAAGTAGAGGGTCACCATCTCCAAATCGGGGCGCTAAACCTCCCGTGACAATGTGGAGCATGCGGAACTCCAGCGCACTTTAGTTGGTCGTCATTCATCAGCTGCCTCGAGCAGCTTCCACATCCCACTCAAGCCGCCAACCTTCTGCTTCACGAGACAAACGGCAACCCACACCTTCATACAGCAAGCCGCCAGCTCTGAAACTCAATCCTGACAATCAACAGACCGTCGTCTTCGGATCCTTCGCCCATTCTCTCCAGCAGCCAACTCTGCACATTCATTCTGTTGGTGTAGCTCGAGTCACGCCCCTCCGCACCAGTCCTAATCGTCCTCGACAGCTCCGCCTCGACCTTCAACCACAGCTAGGTCAACATGCACCAGTTCTCCCGTGGTGGCCGCCGGCCGATTGTCCAGCGCTTCGACGAATACTACCGATGCTATCCTATGGTCTTTGCCCCCGGGCCCGAGCGACCTGACCTCAACTATGGATCCAAGATCTTTCTCCCGCCATCCGCTCTCGACAAGGTCTCCAAACTCCACGTACAGTGGCCCCTGATCATGGAGATTATAAACGGGGAAAAGGGCAAGCACTCGCACGCCGGTGTGCTGGAGTTTGTGGCCGAGGAGGGCAAGGCATACCTGCCACAATGGGTATGCTGACATCCAACTCACCGGTAGCCGCCAAGTTGTCATGCTAACAGCTGCAGATGATGCAAACACTGGGCCTCGATGTTGGTGATCTCATACAAATCAAGACGACCTCTCTGGAGCTCGCGAGGCATGTCAAGCTCCAGCCCCAGTCGGTCAACTTTCTCGACATCAGCGATCCCAAGGCCGTGCTGGAGAAGGCGTTTAGGAATTTCGCCACTCTCACCAAGGGTGACGTGTTCAACTTTTCATACAATGACGAAGTTTACGATGTTGCTGTTCTCGAGGTCAAGCCCGAGACGGATAAGATGGGTGTCAGCATGATCGAGACGGATGTCGAGGTTGACTTTGCGCCGCCCGTCGGCTACGTCGAGCCTGAGCGCCAGCCCCGCGGCAGCGGCACCAGCACCCCTCGCAGTGTACGTGGCGGTCTCCCCGCCGGCGGCCTCCTGCACAGCCAGGGCACCATGGCTCAGGCCATCAACTACGGCGCCATCGCACCGTCTGTCACGGCCAACATTTCCAACTTTTATGGTGAAGGCCAGCGACTGAAGCCCGGCAAGACCAGCAAGACGTCTACACCTCAGTCGGCCACCCCCGTCGGTGGTGTTTCGGCTAATCCGGTCCCTACTGGTCCCTTGCCTCGTCGAACCGCTGGACCAGCGCCTCTCCGTCTCCCGCCCAACAAGCTCTTCTTTGGCTATGAGATCAAACCGGTCAAGACGGATGCTGACAAGGAGCGCGAGAAGGAAAATGCCAACCGACCCCACTTCGCAGGCCAGGGACAGACGTTGCGTGGAGGCGCCGTGAAGCGTAAGGGCGACGCGGACGAAAAGCCCAACGTTGAGAAGAAGGGACCCAGCGAAGGGCGCAGATTGGACGGTCGTGACGGCAAGTAAGTCTTGCTGTTGCTCGCCGAGGGTGGTCAACGATGGATGTGGCGTTTTAGGGTGACATGATCATTTGATGGTCATTTCTGGCGTTGGTGGCCATGCATTGGGAGAGGCGACTGGGATAGCTCGCCACGTAGAATTTTTCGAGTTGATCTTGATGTGCCCAACTATGGTCCATGTTTTGCTCCTGGCTACTTGAGGTTGGTTTGGCTACATGCTCTGTTCCCTACATCGCGGTGAGGCCAGAGGCACCAGATTAGACCTGACGGTTAAGTGACAAACTCGCTCATTGCAAGGGGGCAATTGCACAATATGGCTATCCTCTTCCCTTGCTTCATTGTGATTCAATGTAGCGTCCGTGAGAGTTTGGCATGGGCTCTGCCCTGGCTATTCTCCTTGTGACCTAGCAACTCTTTAACGGCTCTGTTTCTCTAGGACCCAACATCCACAAACGCCTCCAAAGAAGTCCTGCTACTAGAAGCTCACAGATAACACCCAACAGCTCCATCAACTCGCAGCCTGAATTAGGTCACAGGTCAGCACCTGCCTTGCGCGAAGCTAACTCACCTGTGAACGCTTTCTTTGATGTGCATACCGGACGATCTACTTCCTGCCAACTTCGGACGGATTCATTCTACCTGCTTCAGGCGACTTGCCCTGCCAAATCTAGACGACTATTCGTCGCATCACATCATCAACTGACTATCATCTTTTAACGCCTACTTCCCACGCAGAGACTCCATATAGCCAAGTGCCGACCACCTCAAGCCATCACATACCATGCCTCCCAAGGATTCCACCTGGGCCGCCAATGGCGGCATCGCCGAGCGCGACCTCACCATGGCGGTTGCCTCCCACAGCGCCGAATTCCGGGGCGTCAACTGGCCCAAGGTCAAAGACATCATGGACCGGCTTGGCTACACCTTCACCAAGTCTGCCATGGAGTAAGTGCCGTTCACCATATGACCCATCATGGCTACCAGGCCCGGGTTCATCTACGAGGCTTGTCATCTAACAAGCGTTTCACCTAGACAGCGCTGGACCAAGAAGATTCTCAAGGACTGGCGTGCTCGAGTCGGTCCTGACAGCACCACGGATGAATCTCCCCCGACCTCCGCTACCCCTGCTAAGAAGCGCAGCCGTGCCAAGGCTATTGTTGAGGCTGATGGCTATAACCTCGACACGCCTTCGAAGAAACCCAAGGTCAGGGCCGCGGACACCGAGACTCCCATGAAGAAGGAGGCCATCATTGACAAACACGATGTCGAAGACGAAAAGAAAGACGAAATTGTTGAAGAAGACTTCGTGATTTGAAAGCGGTATGTCTGAAGAGATTTCCCAATCATATTGAGAATCAGCTGACATGTCGTTGACAGAGCCAAGGCTTCCTGGAGGCGAGTTGCATGGCTTGGGCTACGAGATCTTTGCGGTTCACCACTGGAGGATGGACGCGGACAAGGAGAAATGATGGTGCTCATATTCAGTCAACCTTGGGGTGTTTCCGGATTTGCTCGACAACATAGTCCTTGGCAAGTATCGGCAACTCCTTAGCTAGGGAACTTTTCTATATAACCTGAATGATGAATCGCGTACTCAAATACGCCGTTAGCCCAATTGTCGAGTGTCGAGCCTACATTCCCACGACGTCCTGGCGAGCTTCGCTGCATAGGGTACTTGAAAGATGTGAACAATTAGGAGAGTCTTTTGCCAAGTACACAGCATCGGATGGGAAGAAGTGCGCCGGGGACCAGGGATATACGTGCCATTAGGCAAGAAATGCTAGCAAGCCCCGCCATGCAGTCAGAACATCACAACACCAGGCGAATGGTTCATTATGAGCAGATGAATATAACTCGATTTGGTTATTCCTGTTCGTTCTCTCTGTTTCCTTCCTGTATCAGAATGGATGCCCTTCGCAAAAGTACGGCAGGGAGCAGCAATCCATGGGTCAAGTGCATAAAGCCACACGCATCAGTTGCTCTCGACCCCTTGACGAATGTCAAACTATTCACTGAGCATATCCCAGTATTCCCTATACTGCTCCTAGGACTCATTCTCCGTCTGCAATGCGTTCGTCTCCTCCCATCGGGTGGCAGGGAAGCACGCCAAAAGTTGTCGGGAGTTAGACCTCGTAGTCGTTGTCAACGTCTCCGGCCTCCATATCAAGAGCGCTGTTGAAGCCAAAAGTCAGTCGCCCGGCACGATGTAGAACATGAAGATAAAAACACGGCAACTCACCTGGGTTGTTTGATATCGACGTCATCGACCTCCTCCTTGGTCTTCACCTTCTTGGAAGGGGTTTCCATCTCCTCATCATCGTCCTTCACCTCATCGGTAGAGACGGCAGCGGCCTTCTTGGCGGAGGCCTTGCGCTTGCCCGAGGCGGGGGTCTTCTTGCCCGGAGTCGACTTGGCGGGCGTGGATTTGGCGGGAGTGCCGGCGCCGTTGCCTTCCTTCTTCTGAAGCTTGGCGATGTGTTGCCTGTGATGCGCAGGGGATGGTCAGCAAGAGTGCAACTCATGGGTGGTTTTTGTGGCAGAAAACAGGCACACGGAAAGTAAAAACGCGGAGGAACTGAAGAGATTTACTGAGCAGCTGAAGAACTGTAGCTGTAGCCCTTGGCCTGGGTGCCTGTGACAATCTCGTTCCACTGCGCTGGGGTCGGCTTGACCACTTTGAGAACTTCAATGAGAAGGTCTGCGTGAGCCTTGTCATCCCAGGCCGTGGCAGGTCCGTTGACTGCAGGCATGATGAGAGAAATTAATAGTGGGTGATGAGCAGTGTAGAGGGCGTTGTTTGAAAGCGTGTGGGTACCAGATGAGACTGAGGGAAGAGATAGAAGATTGTTGAACAGCAGAGGTGTTGAGGTAGAAGATCGGAGTAAGATGGTGACTGGGTTGAAGAGGGCAAGATGGTAATGATTCAAAGCGAGGAATAGGAAAGAAAGAGAAGGAAAATCAAGGACACAAGGCCCGAGAACCGAAGGCATGGGAGCTTTCCCAGGCAGGCATCAAAACGCAGTTAGAGCAAATGCAAAAACAGAAAGAGAATCGAAGTTACACAGGAAGTAGCAAATATTCAAAAGAAAAAGGCCACTGCCAGAAAGAGATACGCACTTAAGAGCAGACTCGGTAAAGGTATAGCCCTGAGCAGCTAGCACCTTCATGACATCTGAGAGTTGCGATGTAGAAAGCTTGGACGCCGTCACAAATGCCACAAGAATGTCCTCATGGACCTGTGGGGTCCATGCCATGCGAGTGGACATCTTCAGGATATAATGAGAACAGCCAAGAACGGGCTTAAGCTCTGCTTGTTGACGATGCAATCGTCAAGCGATGCAACTCGGAGTAGTATCTGATGGTGTGCGAAGAAAAGGGAGAGATCTCGCTGGTGGTGGAGGCGTTGACCGTTGATGACTGGGGACGGACTTTTCCATGGACTATTGGTGGAGATGACAGAAGATATTGGGACGAGATATCCGGTTGCCTCTGCCTTCGAACTGCCTTTGCCTGACCTCTACCCTGCCTCTGCCTCTGCTCTTGCCGACTTGACAAGCAGCAGAGTGGAACCGGCGCTCGCCAAAACAGTCCCAGCTCTGTGTCAGTGCTCTCGATCCCGAGGAAACGGTTAGGCAGTAGTTTGACGGCACTCGAGAACCACTTAGACTCAAAGAACACATGCAAAGAAGATGCTCATCAAAGAGCACCAGAGCCCGGCAACCATCCTGCAACGCTAGACACAAAAGCCGCGAACAAGACAGAATCATGACCTACCGGAGTGCCTCCCAGGTAATGGTAGCATCGACCTTCTTGAGCTCAAAGATCATATTTTCTTTGAACTCGGGAGTGAACTTGTCCTTGGAGGTGTTCCAGAGGTAAGTCACGATGCGCAAGGCCAGCTCGGCGTTGTCCCAGTTGACCATTTTGGTGCTGGTGTGGCAGCTGCGGGTGCAAGGTGTGTTTGTTCAACTCGAGAATTCTTGATGATCGACTGGAATACCCGCTAGGACAAGACGCAGTAATGATGTGTTGCTGGTAGGAGGGGAAGGATGGTGAAGGAAAAGGTAAATGTGCAACAGTGAATGGGGTCGTGCTGATTGGAGGGCAGACTATGACAAAGTAGGCTGCAGCCCGCTGAACAGGCAACAATAAGTCGTGACCGTCTGTCCAATATGTACAGAAGGCACTCACTCGAGGCTAGACTTCAGTAGGCTTCAGACGTGGTTGTCTTAACTTTTAAGTACGAGAAGCCTCCGGGTAGTAACACCATCTAGGCTCGAGGGCTCGAAAGATGACAAGCGAAACTGGCAGTACTTACCGGAAATTGTTCCAGTTGATCGTCGAGTCATGTTTCTGAGCGGCAGCCATGATCTGATCCTTGGTCTCCTGAGAGAAGTGCTCCTTGAAGGTGTTCCAGAAGCCTACAAGCAGGGCATCCCGGAGATCGGCATCTTCCCAGTTGACCATCTTGACGGTGTTGTATGCGTGTATGTGTTCGGTTGCGTAGGCTGTTATACGGGAGAGTACCGCGTGGAAAGTGGGGAGGGCTGTCGTGGTCTATGTGTTGAGGATAGTTGAGGTTTGGGAGCTTATGTGGAAGAGAGAGAGAGAAACGGGAGTTGAGAGGGGCTGATCAGAGACAGTTGCTACGCGGGACCAGAAGGCGGAGGGATTGACAGACCAGGAGACGTGACCGATGAAAGCGGCCTGACGAGGCGGGTCATGCTTTCCTCCATTGAATGTAGCTGTGAATCCCTTTCTCGCGAACAAACCTCATGAGCCGGTTAGAACAGAAGTTTGGAAGCAGATGTAAATAGTATGCTCACATGGTCAGTCGAGTGTGTTCAACAAACCAAGAGGAAGAAGCTGGTCGCAGAATGAGAACTAATACATGATAGCCGCACCGGGCGTAATGTCATAAGTTTAGCATATAGTCATTATCCGAGTTCCCTCAAAGGGAAAGTTACCATCAAAGTTAAGGGTAGTTCACTCTGCATAAATCGGCAAAAACAGGATAGCCCCCTTCCAACACCAAGATGCCCTTCCCATGACGTTTCGTGTCGGCCGTGTTGTATCATTAATCATAACCAGCCTGACTCATGCCGTAAACGGTCATAAAATCCTTCATTTCATATGTTATCAAGATCCGTCACATTTCCTCATGATGTTAAGACTCATCATAAGCAAACCCGAGCGCATCATCGCCGTCAAGGCCAACTTGATGGTCAGTGTCCTCGCGAGGGAACCCTGATGTGAAGTCGTCGTGAACCGTCGTCAAAGCTAACACAGCTTCGTCATCGAGAATCTGCTGCGAGGATGACGCCTCTTCGGTCACCTTGCGTTGAGCTGTGCGGGCTGCAGCCAGAGCCAGGGCAACTTCGGCCCTGGTAATCCCTTGCGTGTCTGCAGACTCTGCGACCCGCATGCGTTTGGGATGAGGCTCATCCGGCTGAGTTTCTGCCTCTCGATGACCAGCTCCACTGCCCACGGCATCAATGACATTCCCCCCACGTGTGCCCTTTTCGGGGCTCACATTGTCCCGCTGAGGCTGCGCCGGCTTGTCTTGTGCCGATGGGCCAAGAGGGCGCGGGGACAGAGCCACAGGGTGTGGAGCCAAGACCGTGTCGATATCGTGGCCGTTGGATGGATCGATGATTGAATAATCGCCAGAGTCGTGAAAGCTGCTCGCCTCGGCAAAATTGTTTTCTGGAGGTTCCCCTATGGGACCAGCTATGTCTTCAGGCGGGCGACTTGTTGTTGCTGCCGGTGGATCCGCTCGCGCGGAGGAAGACATGGACGCGTCGGTAGTCGCATGCTGGCCAGCTCTGGTCGTATTCTCTTTTTGTAAGGCAGAGGCAAATGTATTTGAAGTTCTTGAGCGAGAATGAGCTGACCGAACGGGAGGGTACCACTCAAAACTGTTAGAGTCAGGGGTATGAGCAGTACTAGGGCCAGGGCCAGGGCCAGGCTCAGGCGCGAGAGGGGGCAGAGTCTTGTCTCTAGCGCTCCAGGCTCTTTTCGAGGTGGTGCTGACAGCGTCTGGCAGCTTGTCAGGGTTGGCATTCGGCACCAAACTGGTCTCTGTCACTGGTGATGTATCTCTGGGCGCCGCTGGACCTGACTGGGTGCTGGCTGGCTTCGGCGGAGGGTTCTTAGGATTTCCCGCTCGGCGTGCCTCCAGCGTGGCAAGGAGCCTGTCGTTATGTTTTTCTTTTCTCCTTTCGAGTTCGAGATCGTCCTCGCGTGTATGGACTCTAACTGGAGGACCGCCGCCTCCATAAATGACGGTTCTGTTTCCCGGCATAGCAAAGATGCGATCTAAGAATGGATTGCCACTGATTGCTGGGATGTTGTTGGCGGCGTTTTCGGCGGCGGCAGCATCTATGGCGTTGAGACGTTCAATTTCCCTCTCCTCTCGACGTTGCCGTTCAGCGCTCGTCTCCCCCGTCCTCAAGGGCGGGCTCCCCTGTTTGCGCGGCCTGCCACGGCCGGGACCGGGGCGGCGAGTGATGGGATTCAGGGTAGGGTCATAAGTTTCTGCCTGCTCCCCGGGCTGTCCGAAGAGGCCTATACCCCGTGTCGTGTGCTGGGCACGGCGCAGGCCTTGAAAGTGTTGACTGAAGGGAACGTATCAGCGGGTCGTTGTGAGGCTGCTCGTGACGGATCGATCGGAATGGGACAGAGTGGGTCAACATGACAAGGTATGGTATATGGTACAAGAGAATCGCAACGTGTGTGGCGGCATAGAACTACGAGGCAGCGGAGCCGAGGGGTGACAGGAATAAGAAAGCAGATCTCTCACTCACCGGCATCCTTCATTGGTGAAGCCATAGCCCATGGACCTCATGGAGTTCCCGATCGATGTCCATTCCGGTCCGGTGATGATGCCAATGCATTTGATACTGAGTATGGTGAAGAAGAGATCACGGTCCGCGCGATCGTTCCAACTCTTGGTGAACATGACCAATGGTCATTCAGCCAACCCTGGGCTGGATGACGAACCGTCACCGATCGAGCTCAGTTTTATTCGTTCTTGGCTTGTGGCCCGGGGGTCCTGACGGTGCCGTTTGGAAGCCCGCTGGGGCAGAAGGGGGGGGGGGGGGACGGTGGTTGATACGACGCTGGCAATGTCTGGTCGGAAGGAAGGTTTGAGCTGTTAGTGGTCTTAGCAGAAGTGACTGAGAGTCAAGGCCAGGGAGAAAGTTTAGTAGGGGTAAAAAAGGCGGAAAAGGGCATGGCAGCCAAAGACATGGGTCATGATTGTTAAGGAAAGTTCCAAAAGGGGGGGGGAAGGGACGGGCGCTACTTATTGATTGGGCTATTCCCAAAAAAAAGACGGTTTCAGACGGGGCGAAGACGGGAGAGGGAACCGGGCCAGGGTTGATCCGGGCTGGACCTGGGGGACCTCGTGGTTAGTGGCAGGGAGGGTCAGGAGGACCAGCCCATCATGGGCTGTTTTTTGGGGGGGGGGGGGGGGGGGGGAAAAACCCCGTTTTTATTAAATAAAAAAGGGAAAATTTTTTGGTTTGGATGAGGGCGGGGAAAAAATACCTTTTTCCCCCCCTATTTGCCCGGGGGGGGGGGGGAGGGAGGCATTTTTCCCCTTTGGGGGGGCCCCGGGGGGGCGCGGGGGGGGGAAAAAGGGGGAAAAAAAAACCCCCACCCCCGGGCGCGCGGGTGGTCCTGGCCTTCTTCTGGTAAAAACCCCCCCCC